AGTCCTGGTGACACCGTGGCTTCAGGCCTAGGTAACTGAGAGGATGGTGTCAGTTAATAAACATTTATTAAGCACCTTCTGTGTGCTGGGCACTGTGCTAAGTGCTTTCTCACTTGATCCTTACCACAGCCCTGGAATGTAGATGCTGTTTATTATTCCCATTTTACAGATGAGGAAACTGAGGCAGACAGAGGTAAAGTGACTTGCCCCAGGGTTGCACAGCTCATAAATGTCTGGGGCCCTGACCCTGAGCCCCGAGCTCCAACCATTGCACCACCCAGCTACCTCTTAGGCGGTATCAGTTTCCTCTGTCCTGGGGTCATTGCCACTAGTCTTACGTTCAGCATCATTGAATGCTTTTGCAGTCATTGTACAAGCTCCTTCACCTCCTTGGGCCTCAGTTTCCTCATTTGTAAAATGAGGGCTTGGGTCAGAGGGCCCCTGAGCTCCCTTGCGGGCTGGGACGCTCAGTCTTCTGTTCCTCCAAATGCCTGGTGTCGGTGCAAGTACGGCACGGGTCGTGTCCCGTGTCAGCCCCCCGCTTCCATTTGTCCAGCCGCTCCATGGTCAGTGGGGGCTCGCTTTTTTATACAGTTGGGTCTTTCGTTCATTTTGGTTTTTTGCAGAATGGCATAGCTCAGTCAGTCAGTGAGCATTTATTAAGTGTCTGCTGTGTTCAAGGCACTCTTCAAAGTGCTGGGGATACAAAGACAGAACTGAACCGGCCCCTGCCTTGGGGGGACTTACAGTCTGCTTGGGGAGGGAATGGACACCCAGATGAGTAAATAGAGGGTAATCTGGGGCAGGGTAGGGAGAGCTCCAGGATCTGAGGAGATCTGAAAGGCTTCTTAGAGAAGGAGGATTTTCGTTGGGACTGAAAGGAAGCTGGGGAGGTCCGTAGTCAGAATGGAGGAGGGAGGACATTCACTCCAGTGATGGGCAGACAGAATGTTCCACCTGGTGCCCAGAGAATGGTGGGTATCATTCATGAAACAGCCCGCCCGGAGGCCAGTCATGGAGGTGGCCTAGGCAGTGCTAAGTTCACCAAACAACCAGGAAGCCAGTGAAGGCAGAGGCTGTGTAGTTAGTAGGTAGAGCACTGGACATGGTGTCAGGAAGACCTGAGTTCAAATCCTGTCTCATACCCTGAATTCCTGCGTAACCACTTAACTTCCTGCTCTGGGCCTCAGTTTCCTTATCTGTTAAATGGGGATAATAGTCCTGTGTGGTATATTGGTAGAATGGAAAAGAGCATTTCTCAGGCTTCCCTGGCCTCCTCTGTAAAACTAAAGGGGTTTTAATCAGATGGTTTTTTTGTTTGTTTGTTTGTTTTTTGTGTGAGGCAATCAGGGTTAAGTGACTTGCCCAGGGTCACACAGTAAGTGTCAAGTGTCTGAGGCTGGATTTGAACTCCTGACTCCAAGGCTGGAGCTCTATCCACAGCACCACCTAGCTGCCCCTCAGGTTCTTTTCTAGTCTGACCTAGATCCCAGATTGGCGGTCATCCGAGATTGGGGCAGGATAGGCAGATTTGAGAATCATTGGCATAGAAGGAGAGGGTAATTAAATCTGTGGGACGTGATGAGATCACCAGGTGGGAGAAGAGGGCCCAGGACCAAACCCTGAGGGACAGGTACGGTTACAGGGCATGATCTGAAGGAGGATCCGACAGAGGAGACAGAGAAGGAGCGGTCAGAGAGGTAGGAGGAGAGAAGGGTGTCCCAAGAACCTAGAGAGAATCTGGGAGGAGAGAGCGCAGTGGTGTCAGAGAGGTCAAGGAGAATGAGAATTCAGAAAAGGCCATTGGATTTGGGAAATAAGATCATTTGTAACTCTGGGGAAAGTGGTTTCAGTGGAATGATTAGGTTGGAAGTGGGATTGTGAGGGGCTAAGATGAGAGAATTTGACCACAAAGGGCAGAGTAACAGAGTGGTAGAGAGGACGGAGGAGACATGGGTGTATTTGTAGATGGTAGGGAAGGAGCCAGTAGAAGGAGAGATTGGGGGAGATGATTGAAGGGGCAGTGTGATGTAGGAGATGGGATGTATTGGGATTGCTTGAGCAGGTAGAGGGATTTGCCTTGGTGAGGAGAAGGAGCACCTCTCTGTGTGAGGCTGGGTGAAAGAGAAGAGACAGTGCAGCAGATAGAGCACTGGCCCTGAAGGACCCGAGTTCAAATCTGGCCTCAGACACTTGACACTTACTCGCTGCATGATCCTGGGCAAGTCACTTAACCCCACTGCCTAGCAAAAAAAAAGAGAGAAGAGAGGCTGAAGGAGGTAGGGAAGAGGGAAGTCTTGTTGAATGGCCTGCATTTTTTCTGTAAAATGCGAGGCAGGGTTCTCCGCTGAGAGGGTGGAGGTAGCAGAAACCATGGGGGGTTTGAAGAGGTATGAGAAGATTTGGAAGAGCAGCCAGGGAATATGAGTTGATAAGGGAGGTAGAGTAGGATTGCCTTGCAGCAGTGAGAGCCCAGTTGAGGTTATATAACAGATTTTGTAGTAGACCCGGGCAGAGCAGCTGGGGATTGTCTCCACCTTTATTCAGCAGCACTTTTTGAAGGCAGGAGTGATCCAAGGCTGAGTTTTGGCTGGAGACTTAAGAGGGCAGGGTAGAGTTGAGCTCGTTCAGCAAGGGTCAAGATGGGGGGGAGGAGGAGAGTGTGATGATTGCAGGGGTGATGATCTGTGAGAGAACTGAGGAGTCTAGGGGATTAGAGCTCCCAGGGTGGACCAGAAGGGCAGGGTCTGGTGTTGGAAGGCCAAGGGAGAGGTGGAATGCTAACAGATGATGACCAGATAAAGGACACAGGGCAATTGGCGATATGATAAGGGGGTTAGGGATTCTGGAGAGGCCATTGTAGAATTGAATCGATTCACCAATGGGACAAGATGGGGAGAAGAGGAAGGAGTAGTTAGTGCAGGAGACATAGCCTGGGAGAGACCTGAAGGACCGGTGGTGCCGCTGAAGAGTAGAGTAGTGTAAGGAAGGCAGAGGGAGAGGTGGAAAGCCAACAGATTATGGTCAGAGAAGAGGATTTGGGAATTCCTGAATAGGGCCATGGTGCATTTGGGGGAAATGACAAGATCCTAGAGTGTGACCATCTTTATGTGTGTTGAGGAGAAGGTCATGGGAAGTGAATCCATTGAGAAACTGGGTGGGTGATGGGCTCGAGGGAGAGTCACTCTGTATTTTGAAGTCTGCTTGTGTGAGGGCAGGAGTTGGGGAGGAGAGAAAGATCGTGAGCCGGGTAACAAGTCCATTGAGGAAGGAAGGGGAGAGACCAGGGGTCTGCAGACTACAGCTAACAGAGTTTTGGTTGGGTGGGAGATAGGCAAAGCAGGAACCTCCATGGAAGAGAGGTTACTGGGGAGGGGGAGTAGCGAGAGAACCTTGGTAGCAGCAGTCTTTCAGCTCCCCGTCTTGATCGGCAAGCCAGGGGGAACTGAGTGAAGGGGCGGCCACTATTGGAAAGGGTGGGCAGGGAGACTGTGCCGTCAGAGGGGATCCAGATTTCAATGCAAGGTGATCTAGTGAATAGGGAGCTCGCCTCAGAGCCTAGAAGATCTGGGTTCAAGTCTCATTTCTGACATATTATATGACCTTGGACAAGTCATTTAGGACTCTCAGTGTCCCAGGCAACTCTAAAACTATTAGGTAATAATAATAATGCCTAGCATTTCTGTAATGTTTTAAGATTTGCAAAGTACTTTACAAAAGTTATTTTAGGGGCAGCTAGGTGGCGTAGTGGATAGAGCACCCACTGTGGATTTAGGAGGACCTGAGTTCAAATCTGGCCTCAGACATATAACACTTACTAGCTGTGTGACCCTGGGCAAGTCACTTAACCCCATTGCCTAGACACACAAATGATATTTTATCCTCACAACAACCCTGACAGGTAAGTGCTATTATTGTATCTACTTTACTGAAGACGAAACTGAGGCAGGCAGAGGTTAAGTGACTTGCCCAAGGTCACGTAGCTATTAAATGTCATGTAGGATTTGAACTCAGGGCTCTTGACTTCAGGTCCCTCAATCTGTCCATTGTACTACCTGACCTCCTAGGAAGAGAGGAAAGAAGGCTGGAAGAAAGGAAAGAGAGAGAAAAGAAGAAAGGGAAGAAGGATGGATGGATGGATTTATTAAGCGATGAATATGTCAAGCACTATACTAAACACGGGCAGGGGCTGATCTTTCTTGCTGAAGGGTGAAATCATGGGTCTGGTCTCTGCCGTTTCGTCACATGTATGGGGCTGAGTATCCCGGATGGCCACATCTCTCAAGAACGCCGTTCCTGAATGGGTTGGTGTTGTGTGTGGAAGACGGTGGGTGACTGTTTTCCTCACTTCCATGCTAGAACACTGGATTTGTTTCCTTTTCAAGGACATCGTGTGGTTTGTCTTCATGGTCCAGAGCCTTACGGTCTGCTGGTTTCTGAAGATCTGCGGGCTTCCGGCTATCGGAACAGTTCTCCTGGTCACTCCTTTCCTCCAGTCATGGAGAGAGTGCTCCCCTCCTCCTCCCCGGGCCCGCCCCCTCCCCTGCACACTTCTCCTGGATCGTTCCTCATTCCCCTCCAGCAGGTTGAGAATGTGGAGAATCTGCATTCCTGTCCCTCACTCGGCCCAAGTCTGAACTTGCTCTATACAGATGGGGAGCAAGTGGCTTTCTCTCAGTGAAAAGTCCCCTGCAGAGGCAGCAGCCGGTTCATTGCCGGACCCCTCTGTACACACCCAGTCTCTCCTTGGAGGGGAAAGGGGGAGATTGATTTTCAGCTTTGAAGTGGGAGGTGGGGAGGAAAGGGAGGGACTTGGAGTAAGGTCTCCAGTGAAACATGGTCCACCGGAGAACACTGAAGCCCCTCCAGAGAAACTCTGGAAAGGAGATGACCAGACAAAATAAATCCTGTATCCCTGCCGTCTTCCCCCTGCCTCCGGGTATCCCTTGCACAGTTTTCACAGAGTTTGGTGATTCGGCCTCTCTTTGTTTTTCCTTCAGAAAAATAAAAGCAAGAAGAAGGGTAAAGATGAGAAGTGTGGGTCCGAGGTGACCACCCCAGAGAACAGCTCGTCCCCGGGGATGATGGACATGCACGGTGAGCCGCCTGCCCTGCTGGGCCCGTGGGACGGGGCCAGGCTCCTCGGGGTAGCACATCACCAACAGGCTTTTTCACATTCCGTACAGAAGGGGGTGGGAGCTGGGCAAGGCCTGGGGTGGATGGGGAGGGAAGGAGGGAAGGAGGAGGCGGCGGTGTCAGTGGTGGAAGGTTCCTGAGCTGAGGACACAGTCAGACTCACCTGGACACTGCCAGAGGCACGGGGGTGGGGCGATACACTTCAAAGGATCATAGACTTAGTTGTTGTCTTATTTATAATAGTTATAATATATAATAATTATAACCATTTATCATAGAGTGCCTTAAATTTTGCAACGCACTTTATAGATATCTCAGTTTGTCCCCATGACAAACCTGGGTGATAGGTGCTAATTATCATCCTCACATTCCAGTTGAGGAAACCGAGGCAGACGGTGGGGAAGTGACTTGCCCACATAGCTAGTAAGTGTCTGAGGCTGGATTTGAACTCATGTCTTTCTTACCAAAGGTCTAGGGCTCTACCTACTGGACTGCCTTGTTTAGAGCTGGAAAGGTCTGTAGAGGTCATTGAGTCCCAATACCTTCATTTTACAAATGAGTAAACTGAGGCCCAGAGAGTTCAAGTGATTTCTCCAGGGTGGCCCAGCTAGTAGGTTTCTCAGCTCTACCCCCCCACCCCTTGCAAGAGACTTGGGGGGAGCCCTGCTTTACTGGGGGAAGGAGGGTGTCTTCAGAAGCCCTTGTCTGAGCTTTGCTGGGCAAAAATCTGTGTATAATCCATTTGTGTGGAGAACCAGACAGGGCCTCATCCAGATAGTGGAGCAGAGTGCCATGACACTTCTTTTTTTTTTTTTTTTTTTTTTTGGCTAGGCAGTGGGGTTAAGGCCCAGGGTCACATAGCTAGTGAGTGTTATGTGTCTGAGGTCGGATTTGAACTCAGGTCCTCCTGAATCCAGGGCTGGTGCTCTATCCACTGCGCCACCTAACTGCCCCATGCCATGACACTTCTTATGGCCATTGGAGGACGTGGGTTCCAATCTCACTTCTGTCATTTGCTACTTGTAATGGCAGACTCGGGGCAAGTCACTTAGGATGAGGAAGCATAGTATTGGATAGAGGATGATCGTAATGTCAGGGAAGCCTCTCTGACACCTAACAGCTGTGTTACCCTGGGCACGTCACTTCCCTCTGGGCCTCAGTTTCTTCACCTGTAAAGTGAAGGGGGTAGACCCTGTGACCTACTTCTGTGGTTCCTCCTAGCTCAGAATCTATGATCTCATGAAGTGACTGGCCCAACTCAAAACACAGGTGAGATTTGAACCCAGAGCCAGCCACAGGTTGGACTGGTTGGTCCTTAGGGCCCTTTCCGCCCTTTGAAGCTGTTTCACCAGTTCATGGTTTTTTTTGAAGTCTGAACTTGGAACTTCCTGCCCACTGTTGGGGAGAGGGAGGGCGCTTGAGTTTTTGATCAGACAGGCTGAGTAGCCCAGGTTATGGGCCCTACCTTGAGCCTTCTCAGCCCAGGCACATCAGATTTACAAGTAAATTGGGTGTGGGGAGGCAGGTTTACTCACTTTACAGAAGTGCCAGCAGCTGGCTTCTTTTCCCTAATGAGCTCCCAGCTGTGCTCCTAAAGCAGGATTCCATTTCAAAGAGCTGTGTTTATAGGCGGCTTTTCAGAAGCCAGGCTCTGTTGCAAAGCAACGTCCATCTGTCCACCTGGGAGGCTTCATCCCACGAAACGTCCCCAGGTGCCAGGTTGCCGTGGGTGATGCAGTGGGGAGAATGTGGGGTTTGGGATTGATGTTCCCTGGGTTCACCAGGACCTGGCTTCAGATTCCAGCTCTACCCCTGGGGGGGGGGTGTGTGTCTGTGTGTATCTGTGTCTGTGTCTGTGTGTCTGTGTGGTCCTGGACAGGTCACCTCACCTGCTGCGCCTCAGCTACCTCATGGGTTGGAGAAAGATGAATTCTGGCTCTCAAATCTTAAAGCATCCTTCGACGCCAGCAGGTCCCCCAGAGAAATAAGTTGAGGAAGAGACGGTCCTCAATGGGAAAAATCATCCCTGCCCCTCACACACCTTGTTATGAGTCTTGCCTTCTTAGAGGCATCTAGGTACCAAAGTGGATAAAGGGATGGACTTTGAGCCAGGAAGACCTGAGTTCAAGTTCAGCCTCAGACACTAACTATGTGACCTTGGGTGAGTCGCATCACCTCCACCTGTCTCAGTTTCATCATCTGTAAAATGGGGGTAATGATAACCCCTACCTCCTAGGGTTGATATAAGGAAGAAATGAGATCTTTGTAAAGTGCCCTGCAACCCTCAAAGTCACTATGTAAATGTTAGCTGTTGTCATTCTTGTGGGTGGGAGGCATTGTGCTATATGGAGACAAAGGACCTGGGTCCAAACCCCAGCTCTGCCTGGGAGACTTTGGTCAAATCACTTTACTTGGTCTTCTCTGGGCCTCGGTTTCCTCCTCCTCTTCATAATAAGGAGGTTGGACCCGACTTCTAAGGGCCTTCCCAGATTTTAAATCTATGATCCCGTGAGTTTCAGTGACCAGTAAGATTTCAGATTTTAGAATGACAAAGAGCAGGGAAGGGAGGTAGTCCCCAGCACAGTAGCCTTTTTCTTTTCTTGTTTTAGTGAAGCACTTGGGGTTGAGTGACTTGCCTCGAGTCACACAGCTAGTGAGTGTTATGTGTCTGAGGCTGGATTTGAACTCGGATCCTCTTGACTCCAGGGCCGGTGTTCTTTTCGCTGCGCCACCTAGTTGCCCCACCTATTCCTTTTCCGAAGTTGCCCCTTTGCACCCTGACCTCCCCAGATAAGACAGGGACCTCCCTCGCAATTGCATGGGTCAAAACAAATGAAGGAAAGAGTCCTGGGTGAGTTCGTACATAGCAGGAAGCTTTGGGGAGACTCTCTCTTCCTAACAGGGCTCCCTGGCTCTTGGACGGCAGGTTTCACAGGGATTCTGCCTTTGCTGCAAGTCTTTCTCATTCTCCCCATCTTTCCCCCTGCCCAGATGACAACAGCAACCAGAGCTCCATAGCCGATGCATCACCGATTAAGCAGGAGAACAGCAGCAACTCTAGCCCCGTGCCAGAACCGAACTCGGCAGTGCAGGGGGATGGCCCTGAAGCGAAGTCCGACGAGGTCCACGCGGAGCCTAAGGAGCAAGCTGGATCAGAAGGTAGATGCCCCGTGCTTCCGTCATCCCTCCCCCAGGCATCCTTCCCCTCTCTCGTTGGAGTTGTCTTCTACTCAGGGGTGATTTCTAGTCGCCTAGGACCAGGAGGGCATCTGAGTGTCTTCGCTGTAGGCTGGAATGCACTGGCGGGGTGGGGTGGGCTGGGGTGGGCCTGCGGGGCAGGTTTCACCTTCATTACATCCGGAAGGAGTGACATGATTTTATTTTTCCTAGTAGAGCCGTAGCAGTGGTTACCGAAGTTACCAGGGAGCTCCGTGCCAAAACATACGATGCTTGTTCTTCTGAAATGTCTGTTGTGATCAGACTTCTGCCTTTGGACTGTTAGAAGGGCTGTGGTCCTGTCCCCGAGGGCCTGCAGAGGGCTGGAGTTCACTGCATGCATTGGGCAGTGACCACAGAGGCTGTTCAGTTCTAGTGGCTGGTAGCTGGCCTTGCTTTCTGCCTGGTCATGAATTAAACTTGCCTCGGGCAGGCATAATTCTTTGGTCATGAGATTTTGCACAGTCCAGTTGGAATTCTGAGGTTGTGGAGTGACTCCAAAGAGACTAGTGATGTCATTGCTGAAATTAGCTCTTTTTAAAAAACAAATTAAATTGCAAATGTCTCTGAGAGTATTTCATGATTTAGTTGGGGGAGGATGGGAAGGCAACGTTTTCTGAGCTGACGTGGTCCGATTTGGGACTGGCTTGAGTGGGGAGGGAGCGGCCAGGATGCTGTGCCATTTTGGATGGCTTTTCAGGCCAGGTGGGTGAGGTCTTTAACAAGGTAAGTGAGACCGTGCACTGTAACAGAGGCGCCCCTAGCTTTCTCTCCTGTGCTTGTACAAAGACCTGCAGGAGCCTCAGACAGAATAAGGATAAGCAGAGCACAGGAGCTTCAGTAAGCCCCTTCATCTACCCCGGGGCTGCACAAAAGGCAGCCGGAAGTTTGTGATAGGCGATGGGAAAGGGGTCCCACCAGAAAAGCCAGTTCAAGGTCCAGCAAGTAAACAAACTTGAAGCCTGCCAGCACAAATCAGAGACCTGCCAGGGGCACCTGAAACCTGTTGAGCTCCGTACCTGGGGGCAGGAAGAGTGCTCAGACAGGGAACTCCAGTGAAGTCAGAAACGCAGTGAGCTCTGACCCAGGATCCAGCAGCACCCGGCAAAGGTGTCTGAGGGGGCTGGAGACTTCAGCACTCTGACCAGAGACCCAAGAAGACCCTGAAGACGGCTGCGCTCTTAGTGCAGACATAGCCTTGGAGGCAGAAGTCGGTGGCCAGAACCCAGGACCTCCAAACATCCCTTCCGGGGGTGTAGGAACGAGCCCAAAGATGGAGCTCAAGTACTGAGGCTAGAGATGGGATTGAGCAGAAGAAATCACCAAATACTTTGAAGAACTTTTAGGGATCCAGAGGTATCCGGCAGACAAGCCAAGGAATAGAAGAGGAGAGGGTAAGCCTTGGAGTTTTGAAAAATGACTCTACCACAAAGAAGAAACTAGATGAAGGAATAGCTGGATGAAATGAAGAGAGGGCTAAAAAGTGAATTTAGAAGTAAGAAATAGGGAACAGCTAGGTGGCACAGTGGAAAGAGCACCGGCCCTGAGGTCAAGAGAACCTGAGTTCAAATCCGGCCTCAGACCAAATACTTGACACTTACTAGCTGTGTGACCTGGGGCAAGTCACTTAACCCCAAATGCCAAGGGAAAAGAAAGAAAGAAAGAAAAGAAATAAGAACTCTGGAGCAAAGAATTGGAAGGAAAAGAAATAGCTTAGAACAGATGGTCGAAAACTATCTAAGTAATGTACTCCCGCAAATTAGAATGAAGCAAATAGAAGTTACCGATGCCGTGAGACAACAAGAAACATTAGAACAAAATCAGGAGAGTGATAAAATGGGAGAAAATGTAAAATATCTGTTATTAAAGACATTTGACCTGGAAAACTTTGACCAGGCCAAGGAGAAATAATTAAACAATATGCAGACTCCCAGAAAACTTAATTATCTTCCCCCCTCCCCCAAAAATGCCTAGGCACCATATTTAAATGTCATAAATGAAAACTTCCTAGATCTGTTAGAAGCAGAGGGCAAAGTAAAAATTGAAAGAATCCACAGGTCACCTCCTGAAAGAAACTGTAAAATGAGTGGCAGCATGTTGTCATGGAAAGATCTTTGAATATGTGACTCTGGGCACTCATCTCCCTGATCCTCAGTTTCCTCAGCTTTGAAATGGGGCTAGCCAAATGAGGCTATCTGTCAGGCACTTTGCCAGACTCAGAGATCTTCACAACTGTGAGGGGTAGGTGCTATTTTTCTCCCTATTTTACTGTTGAGGAAACTGAGGCATACAGAGGTTAAGTGACTTGCCCAAGGTCATACAGAGCTAGTAAGCCTGGATTTGAGCTCAGGTGTTTCCTGACTCTAGGCCCAGCACTGTATCCTCTGTATCACCTGCCTCGTTCTGTGCCAGCTTCTGTGCTAAGCTCAGAGCACAGCAGACACATGAGCCGATGCTGTTGTCATCCTCACCATGGAGGCGGGGGCACTGGTGCCCAGGTGTCTGAGGGAGGCCTGCCTGGGCACCCCTCCTAGACCTCCCCCACTCTTGTGTAACTTCACAGGGCCTCAGTTTCCCTAACTATAAAAGAGGGACAGGAGTAGCACTTGTGGGAATCAAATGAGATAATATTTGTAAAGCACTTAGCATGGTGCCTGGGTGCCTGGCCACCTGATGGCCTCCTGCATTCTGAAACAACCTCCAGGAGCACTGTTTTGTTAAGGGGTTGGGCAGGAGTGAAGATTCCAGGCGGCTGCTGTACTTAAGGCTCCTTCCTGCCTCTGGGGGGGGCGTTCCCGGCTGGGCTGCCCCTAGGGTCGAGCTCCCAGTGATAGGATCAGCAGGCTCTCCTCCCCAGCAGGCTCTAATGTAGGCTTCCTCACCCTTCTCAGCAGGATAACAATGACGGGTCAGGGAGCAGAGAAAGAGAAAGCCAAAGTCGCCTGAACAAACCCAGGCCAGGAGCCTCCCTCCATCCTGATTTCTTCTAGGTCGTGGCCTAATTTCTTTCAAGATCTGGGTTCTTTTATTTGTCATGAGGTGTTGGAGAGACATACCACTTACGGTAAAATAGAGCAAGTGCCTGGGTGACCTTGGGCAGTTCCCAGGAGGCCTCAGTTTCCTCATCTGGAAAATGAGGAATTTAGTGTTGAGCTAGTTGGCCTGACAGAACCAGATTAAAATCTAATTGGAAAGGGTTTAATAAAAATACAATAAAATGCAGGCCCATAGTAGGGCTTGGACCTCAGGTCTGCTGACTGCCCATATCCACTGAGTCACACTGCCTGTCTATAAACAAGAATCGTTGTCCATATTCACCAGGATGGGGTGCAGAAGCAGGCTGGGGCCTTTTCAGGGCACCTGCATAGCGTCCCCTCACCACTGAGCAGATCACTGGCCACGTGCTGACCTTGCCTTAAGCTTGTTTACCGGTGAGTTTGGTGAATGACATAATGTCCGTGCACCCGCGTACTAAATTTAGGTTTCAGGAAAGTAATTTGCTCTGAGCGAGTTCCAACGTCAGGTGGATGAAACTAAAGGGGGAGGCTGCCAGTGAGCAGGCAGGACTGAGGCTCCACTGAACCCTTCTGGACGTTGGGCCCCAGGCCTTGAAGCATCATCTTCGGACCCTGAGGCCCTTTCCAGGAGAGAGCTTTAAAACCTGGACTGGAGCACCTGGCTTCCTCTTTCATCCATAACATTCTTTTTCTTTTCCCACCTCAGGTGAGTGCCCACTATGGGATAAAAGTAGAGACTCAGGAAAAGCTAGGTGGTGCAGTAGATAGAGCTCTAGCCTTGTAGTCAGGAGGACCTGAGTTCAAATCCAGCCTCAGACACTTGATACTTACTAGCTATGTGACCCTGGGCAAGTCAGTTAACCCCAATTGCCTCACCAAAAAGCAAAAAAAAAAAAGTAGAGACTCAGGTCTTTTTTCTTTTCAAAAATTTTTTTAAAAATCTGACCTTAAACAAGAAACAGAGCATTTCTATCTACACAGCAGAACACAAAAAGGGGACTTAAATGAAACTGTTCCTCTCCATTTCATACTGTCAGTCAAAAATACTTAAGTGCCTACTATGTGCCAGGCTAACCTCTGGGGATACAAAGAAAGGCAGGAGACAATCCCTGCCCTCAAGGAGCTTATAATCTAACGGGGGAGATAGTATACAATCAGTTATGTAGAAACAAACTATAGACAGGATAAATTGGAGATCATCCATAGAGAGAAGGCACTGAGATTGAGAGGATTTGGGAAAGGCTTCTCGTAGAAGGTGGGATTTTAGCTGGGACTTGAATATGAAGAGGAAGAGCATTCTGAGCATGGGATACAGCCAGTGAAAATGCCCAGAGCCGAGAAATTGAGTGTCTTGTTCATGGAGCAGCCAGAGTGTTGGAAAGTAAGGTGTGAGAAGAGTGGAAAGGTTCGGAGGGCGCTGGGTTACGAAGGGCTTTGAATGCCAGTCAGAGGTGACAGGGAGCCACTGGCGTTTATGGAGGAGAGGAGTGACGTAGTCAGACCTCAGCTGTAGTAAGGTCGATGGCAGATGAATTGGTATAGAGAGATGCAGGGAGACCAATTAAGGCATAAGGGAATGAGGGCCCAGACCCATGGGTAAGTATATATAATAATTCTACATATTATTTCAAAACTATCTCACTTATCTGTGATTTCTGAGGGAAGGTGATTCTTTAAGAATCTTTATGCATTTTTGTTGGGAGTTTTTTTTTAATTTAAATTGTTCTTCAGTGAATAAAAATCCATTTTTTCCTTTCTTCTCTCCCTCTCCCCCCTCATTGAAAAACAAAGATAAATCTTTGTAACAAATATACATATTCAAGCAAAACAGATCACCACATTTGCCTTGTCTAAAAATTCATACCTCACCCTGCACCTGGGGTGTGTAGCATGCTTCATCACTGTCCTCTGGAGTCCTTGATGTGT